GTGGGATGCTGGGAAGTGAACCCGGGTCCGCTGCGTGCAAGGCAAAGGTCCTACCCATTGTGCTATCTCTCCAGCCCCCTGTGTAGGGTTTTTTTATACCTTTAAACCTCACCAGTGGTTCTTTATTTTCCTTTTTTATAATTTTATTTATTGAATCACCATGATAGCAGTTACAAAGCTTTTGGGTTTAAGTTTTGGTCATACAATGAAACACCCGTACCTTCACCAGTGCCCATTTTTCACCACCAAAACCCCTAGTATACCCCCACCCCACACCCTCCCCTTACCTGTGGAGGAGATGATTTCCACATTACTCTATCTCTACTTTGATTTCATTCAATATTTTGACACTGGATCCACTATTCTTATTTGGGATTTTACCCCAAAATTCAGATCTCCTGAAAAGGCATCAGTAGACAATTTGTTTTCTATTCCTGGTTATGAATAACATATGGTGTCGTGTGGCTGCAGTAGTGGCTGCGTGATTTTGAAATTCCAAAATTTTAACAATTAAATCTGGAGGGATTTCTTGCCAAAACCTGCTGGGTTCCGAGATTTGTTCCTGAGTCTCGGGGATCATGGCCGTTAAGCAGCTTGATCGGAGCCAGAAAGGCCGTTAGTGGGCGGCGACTAGGGGTCTTGTTGGGAAGGGGAAGAAAGGGCTGGTCCCACCCCCATCCCATGAGGCCCCACGTGTCTCATCACTGAGGGCCCAAACTTGACTGTCCAGTGGCCTCTGGAGGTTGGCGGCCACCGAGCCGCCAAGGGGGAGCAGGTGGAGGGACAGCACCCTTTCTTCCCTGGAATGGCCGAGCGACAGTAACCTACTGCAGGGTCTGGATGCATTTCTGCCAAAAGCCACTGGATTCCGAGATTTGTGTCTGAGTCTATGGGATCATGGCCGTTAAACAACTTGATCAGAAGCCAGAGAGGCCGTTTGTGGGTGACGACTTGGGGTCTTGTTGGGGAGGAAAGGGCCAGCTCCACCCCCATCCCATGAGGCCCTACGTGTCTCGTCACTGTGGGCCTAAATCTGACTGTCCAGTGGCCTCTGGAGGATGGCGGCCAGCGGGCTGCCAGGGGGAACAGGCCAAGGCACAAAATCTATTCCCACCTGGGGTGGCCCAGCGCCTCTAACTTACTGCAGGGACTGGACACATTTCTGCCAAAAGCCGTTGGGTTTCGAGATTTGTTTCTGATTCTCTGGGATCATGGCCGTTAAGCAGTTCAATCAGGAACCAGAGCGGCCATGTCTCCAATTATATAGCTGAACTGGAGGTGGTTTGTGGGTGTATCTCCCACATATCTTTTACCTGTTTACTTTCGTGGTCAACTCTGCCTCAAGTTTTTGGGGTCTGGCCAAACGCACGGCAGCAATTTGGGGGTACCTGAAGTCTGAAGGCGCCATCAGGCTGCTGATGCACTCGCCTCACAGGTACAGACTGACCTGCTGGTGGCACCATAACCCCAACCCAGTGCTTCTTAGGGTTTACTCCTGCCTCTGCACTTAGAGATTGCTCCTGCCAGGGCACAGATGACTGGATGGGATTCCTGCCATTGAACCCAGATCAGCCACATGCAAGTACCCTAGTCACTGCACTATCTCTTTAGCCCAAGATAAACGCTTTTAAGAAAATGGTTCACAGGCCCAGAGCAATAGTGAAGTTGGTAGGGCATTTGCTTTGGCCAATCTGGCTTCAATCCCTGACATTCCATATAGTCTGACCAAGCACTGTCAGGAGTGATTCCTGAGTGCAGAACCATGAATAAGCCCTAAGACATCAACAGGGGTGGCACAAACATAAAGAAACAAAAAGAAATTGGTGTATCAGAATTCCATTGTAGAAACTGTTTGACTTATTTGACTCTATAATTCTTGAGTGTTAGCCAAAACTCTTTTATAAATGAACCTGAGCATAATCAGTTATCACTGGCAAAAAGAAATAATTTTATTAAAGTAGATATAGGACACTTGTTTGCTCTAATTTTAATACTGCTTTACATAGTTTGTGAAACAATTTCAATAATGGTTATTACTAAAAATTTCAATTGATACAGATCTTTCACTTGTCAGACAGTTGATAATCTCCAGAGGAAAATACATCAAAAGCATATATACAATGATAGAAGTTCTTATTATACATGTAGCCTGGATGGTACATTATTTATCACTTTTTACAGAACTAGAAAACATTCAAGTGAAAAAAAATAGATTCAAACTGGATGATAAACTTCTGATGGTTGAGGTCCTTCATTTAATTTTTTTGTGATAAGAAAATCCAAAAGAATTAATGTTGAATTTCTCATCATACATCATCTAAACGCACAGTCAAAAAAAGTAAAGCTTATAAAAACAGTAAATTGGTTATTTTAGGTGTTTCACAAGTAGACTGTTATGTCATCCATCAACTGCTGGAGATTTCTGCACAGTGCAGAGAATGGGGTGGCCGGGCCGAAACTGTTGTTGTCGTAATTGTTCAATTGTTGAGGTCGTCCCCCTTCCTGGAGAGCAGCCTCGGACATCATCTCCACTTTATTGTTGAGGTCCCGATTCTTTCTTTGGAGGTCCACAATCACGGAATTCAGGAAATCAATCTGTGTTAAAGGAGAGCGTGAGACAGTGAGCCATCTGCGGGAGCCATCAGAGCCCGCCACAGAGGAGGCTGGGCCCCGCTTCCAGTCCCCGCCCCAGGGTTTGAGGCAGCCAGAGCTCCCCTTTCCCTTCCTGAGCGCAAGCTCCCGGGTGCCCCAGGGAAGACCCCAGGAGATGCCGGGCCCCCTCGGTTCCTCTCAGAGCAGGGAGTCAAGAGGGCCTTCCCTCTCCTACAAAGACAGACTCACTTCTTTAAAATCCATGGGGGGGAAAAATCCCACTTTAGAAAAGTAAGCATGACTATAGGCACAAACATTCATGTTTCACTTAAAAACTGGCAGGTTTGTGTCTGAGTGATAGCACAGCGGGAAAGGTGCTTGCCTCGCACGCAGCCAACCCAGGTTTGATCCCTGGCATCCCACAGGGGCCACTGGAGAGCAGCCAGGAGTGATTCCTGAGTGCAGAGCCAGGAGGAAGCCCGGAGTATCGCCAGGTGTGGCCCCCAAAGAAAGTAGAATGAAAACCAGAAAAACAGACTGATTCTTTTTCTCCCTCAGGGCCAGTTCTGATGAGGAGTCTCTGAGAGTGCCCAGGCCCTCCCACACTGGAGCCAAGAAACACAGATCTCTCTTCCTCCAGCTGAAAAAAAAAACAAAAAAAACATGGAAATGTTCAGTTCCCAACAAGCCCATGCAGGGTCCACGTCCACAGCCCACATGTAAAGTTCACTTCAGCCCACATGTGCCGTCCAGGGCCACCGGGAGTTAAGTACAGAAGTGCAGGAAGTGAGGGTGTGCGGGAACTCCATAGGGCACGGGGACCCAGATGGTCCCCTTCCTCAGAGACGATTCAAACTATAAAGCGCTGCAGGCCGGGTGTGATGGAAGAGGGTTGGGGAAGGAGAGACATCAAGGAGGCCCCAAGGCTGACTCCTGCCGCAGGCCATACCTGAGCCTGCTGATGGTAGGTGCGGGCACTGGGGTCTGCAGCCAAGTGTGCACACTCCAGAGGACCCCACCCAGCTGTCTCCCTCGACAGGAGCAAGAAGCAGGAAGGCGGCCCAGAGGACCAGACTCCCCCAGCTCTGTGCCCAGAGCATGCGCAACGTGGCTGGGACAGTCACATGTTGGTGGACCTTTCCGTTTGCGACCGGACCTTCCTGATGGGAAGGAGGCCCTCCAAAGTGGTGTTCGACTCTGGCAAAGTGAAGATTTGCCAATTTTATGGGAGCCCGAAGCCCAGGTTCTGGGAGAGCAGCAGGAGTAAGGGCAGTGGAGGGGTCTGGATTCTCGGCTCTGGCAAGGACGTGACTCCTTGACTGAAGGGATGTGTCCTTGTCCATGGGGCCTTTCACTCCTTAAGCATCACCTCTTGTGCTGGGAGCGTGTGGGGGTGGGGTTCTGGCAGCAGGTGCCCGGGCCCTGGTTCTCACGGGTGCTAGGTGAGCACAGTCCCTTCTTCCTCAGCTTCCTTCTTTTTGGCTTCTGTTATTTTAATTCATCAATTAATTTGGGAGGGGGGATTTTGGGGTAACAACCGGGCGTTGCTCAGGAGTGACTCCTGGCTCTGCACTCCGGAATTACTCCTGGCTGTGCTTCGGGGACCATATAGGATGCCAGGGATGGAGCCTGGGTTGGCCACGTGCAAGGCAAACACCCTACCTGCTGTGCTATAGCTACGGCCCCATTCACGGATATCTTAATGGTAGGTATTCCCCGACTCTTTTGAAGCATACACGCATATATACATATGTACATGTCTGTGTATGTATACATGCTTATCTATAACCTTTGTGGGTAGTCAGTTTGGTTTGTTTGGTGGGGTGGGGACTAAGCCCTGGCTCTGTTCTCAGGGATCACTCCTGGCGAGGGAGGAGCAGTCCAGGCCATCAGCAGTCACTCGAGCCCAGGAAAGTGGGGCTGTGTGGTCAGAGGGCAGTGGCTGGCCTTCTCACGGTCATCAAGGAGCCTTGAGACGCTGCGTATGTCAACACATGTGGCTTCTCTTCCTGTCCCGGCCCAGGCTCTGGGAGAGCTAACTGGGGCGTCCAGTCCCTGCCGGGCTCATTGCTCCTCCGAGCAGTCTGGGAGTGGTCAGCTGTTCAGTGATCTCGCCAGGCCGCCCCATGTCCCCCGGATCCTGTGTGGTCACTCCGCGCAGCACCTCCCCAGGGGTCATACAGGGGTCATGCAGGGGTACACTTCCCCTCCTGTCCCATGCGAGAACCAGGGACCAATTACTCCTGGCGGTGCTCAGGGGACCATATGGGATGCTGGGGATTGAACCTGGGTCTGGCGTGTGTAAGTCAAACGCCCTCCCCGCTGTGCTATCACTCTGGTCCACGATATGGTTTCTTTCAAGGCTGAGGCCGGGCCTACACGCCCTGGTCACCACCATCACCCACCTCATTCTGCAAGTTTGCATTGGTGTTCCTTGTGTCCTCCAGGGAGTCCAGGGTCTCTGTCTTCTCTTGGGACAGTTGTTCCATAAAATGCCTGGCATCTTCCGCTGTCTGCACAGCCTGGAGAGAGAAACCTCGTTGAGCCACGCGGGGGGGGGGGGGGCAGGGAGGGGTTGGCCACAGTGGCAGAGCACAGCGGGAAACGCCACACAAACCTGCCACAGTGGTTCCGGCCCCCGCTGGGCGCCGCTCACCCCGCGGGGATTCACGTCTAAACCGCTCAGCGGCAAGACTGACGCCCCGAAACAGCCTAGTGCTCCCAAGAGCCTCCATTCCTCACACAGAATAAAAATGACATGAGCGGACAGCTAAGCAGGCCTGGTTGGAAAGCGTTGGGGGGAGGGGGGAAAGGAAGGAGAGGAGATGTGAGCCGTGAGCACAGGTGTGGGAGTGGGAGAAAGGCAAACCCTGAGTGAGCTGGGAAGAGAGAACACCTGCCCGGCACCAGGCACCCTCGAGTCCAGGCTGCCCTGCACCGGGCACACTGCTGGTGGCACAGGGCACCCCCGAGTCCCAAGTGAGCAGACTCAGGGCAACCGCTCAAAGTCCCCCCGGAAGACACTGCTTTACTTTACAACTCAGTGCCTCTCTCATGACTTCCCTTACGTCTTGAAGGGCCACAGTGCAATCTTCCGTGAGAACTACCCCCGGAAATGAACATACTGTCCTTTTCGGTTTTATTCACAGCTTATGCCTTGTCCTAGAGGTCAGCAGGCACGTGGTGACGAGCTGTCCCTGCGCCCGCAGCAAACAGCCCGAGACACACGGGTTCCGTGGGGATCCACCGCTCCTTGTGCCGACGAAGAGCAATCCTCTTAACCGCTAAAAGGGGGTGCCCTGGGCCAACGGGGGTGGGGCCTGCTCCACTTTACCGTGAAAGACTGCAGCATCTCGAGCTCTCTGATTTTAACGGCGAGCCTGATCTTGTCCTTCCTCAGCATGCGGTTCCCCTTCTGGGCCTCCAGGAGGTTGGCAGAGACGTGGCTGCTGGTCTGGGCCAGCCGACTGACCTTCTGGAGGAGGAAGTAACTGCCGGCCAGCTGCTCCTTCTCCCGCAGGAGCTCGGCCCTCTCTTGCTGCAGCTCCCTCTTCTCGGCCAGCAGGCTCTCGTTCTCTTGCCCGGGCTGGGCCTGCTCGGCCAGGGCCGCCTCGTGCTTGCGCTGCAGGTCGGCCAGGATCTGGGCGAGGCAGCTGTGCAGGCCCTGCAGCTCCAGCTTGGATTTGGACAGGGCCACGAACTCGCCCTTGAGGGCCTCGATATCGTTGGCCAGCCGGGCGGCATCGGCGCTCAGCATCTCCTTCTCCCGCAGGATCTCGGCCACCTTCTGGTCTGACCGCGCCTTCTCCTCCAGCAGGTCCAGGCGCTGGGCCTGCAGTCCCTGTGTGTGCGTCCGCAGCTCCTCTGCCTCCTGCTCCAGCAGCCCCAGGCGGCCTCGCAGGTGGCTGGTCTCGTGGGCGGCCGCCTGGGTCTCCTGGGCGCAGGCCTCCCACTCCTGCACCAGGGCCTGCTGTGCCGCGAGTCTGTCCTCCACCAGCCGCCAGCACTCCTCCTACCACTCGGCGTTGAGCGCCTCCTTGGCCTGTAGCACGCTGGCGTGTGTCTTCTCCAGGCTGCGGGCCTCGTCCTGGGCCTCCTGCAGCGCCACCTCGAGGGCGCCCTGGCTGGCCATCAGCCCCTGGTTCTCCTGGCGCTGCTCCTGGAGCTCCCGCTGCAACACGTCTAGCTCACCGAGCAGCTTCCTCTTCTCTTGGACAGCCACCCGGGCGCTTCGCCGCCGCCTCCTCGTGCTTCTGCTGGAGCTCGCCCAGGGCCTGCAGGGACGCCTCCCGCTCGGCCAGCAGCTCGGTCTGCTGCGCCTCCAGCAGTGCCTGGTCTTTCAGCAACCAGTCCAGCTGCTGCTGGAGCTTCGTGGCCTTCTGACCCAGCAGCTCCTTCTCGGAGCCCAGGCTGTTCAGCGGCTCGCGCAGGGCCGACTCCATGCGGAACGCCTCCTCGAAGCAGCGGCCGAGCTTCTGGGCCAGGAGGTCCTTCTCGCCGAGGAGGTCCTTCTTCTCGGCCGCCAGCTGCCGCTCAGCCAGGCTCAGCGTCTCCTTCTCATGCAGAAGTTGCACGCACTCCGAGTCGGAGTTCTCCCTGCTGGTCTTGATCTGCTCCAGCAGCTGTGCCAGGTGGGCGTTGGCCGCCTGCGTCTGCAGTGCCTTCAGCTTGGCCTTGTGCACGGCCTTGTGGCCTCATCCAGCTGCGTGCGCAGGCAGCTGGCCTTGGCGCCCAGCAGCTCCTTCACCTGTAGCGCCGCCTCCAGGCTGGCGCCCAGCTTCTCGTGCTCCTGGCTCAGCAGGTCTTTCTCCAGCTATAGCTCCTTGTTGCTCTGGGCCAGGCCGTCACGCTCCAGCTTCAGAGCCACACACAGGCTGTCGAGGCCCGACTGCTTCTCCACGGCCGACTTCTTCTCGGCCGTGAGCTCCTCGATCTCTTGCACCAGCGACTTCTGATCCCAAGCCAGCTCATGATAGGAGCACTGCAGCTTCTGGATGATGTTGTCCTTGTCCTTGGCCAGGGATAGGTTCTCCAGAACCAGCTTCTTCGCATGCTCCTCCAGCTGGCCCCTCTCCTCCAGGCCCTTCTTACACTCGGCCACCAGGCCGCTCTTGCTCATCTGCAGCTCCTCCACCAGGGCCTGCAGCCCCACCTTGGCGACCTGCAGGGCGTCGTTCTCCGCGCGCACCCTCTGGAGCTCCTCCTGCACCGCCCTGCCCTCTTCCAGCACTTTCTCTTTCTCTGCCTCGAGGGCTTCTCAGCCGAGCCGCTCCTCCTGCCAGAGCTTCTCTGCGGCCCGCCTGGCCTCGATGACCTTCTCTTTATCGAAGAGAATCGCTTGGTTCAACAGCCAGAGCTTCCTCTGCTCTTCCCGCAGCGAAGAGTTTTTGGCCTCCGCTTCCTTTAGCTTCAATAGCAACGACCCTCTCTCTGACTTCAGAAAGAGCTTCTCCTTCGCCAGCAATTGATTCTCTGACCTCAGGGCCCTGCGATCCTCCGACATCAGTTCAATTTCCTCTTTGTCTGAGGTTAATAAGTAAGTTCATGACTACAGAAACAAAAAGTGGGGAAGAATGGAAACAAGAATGACATCAAGCAGGCACAAGCAAGCCAAGCACTTCATGTGGCCTAAATACCAGAAATGAAAATCTCAGAGTAGTCTTACCTGCGCACGCGTGCGTGCGCACACACACACACACACACACACACACACACACACACACACACACAGGCAGGATGGAGAGGCTCAAATACAGTTAGCTTCACAGGGTCAACATACCGACCTGCCTATTTTGGGGATGGGGGCCCCACACCTGGTGGTGTTCGGGTCTCGCTCAGGGTTCTGTGCTCAAGGATCACTGCTGGCAAGGCCGGAGGACCATACGGGATGCTGGGGATCAACCCGGGTTGGCCGAGTACAAGGCAGCACTACCCATTCTACTATCAGCCGATTTTATTTTTGAAAATCCGTCTGAAATTTTGTCTGACAGCTCCCTGGAGGATTTACGTACAGTTGGATCAGAGGGGTGCCGAACCCAGGAGGCAAGCTCTGCTGGGGGATCCCAGGATGGCCCTCAGATACCGGCACTCTCTGCGGGAAACTCCGACGCCGTGCCCAGCTGGGGCAGGCTGGCCGCTCGGCTAAGCATTAAAAGTGCAAGAGTCAAAGCTGAATGGTGGGGCTGGAGCGATAGCACAGCGGGGAGGGCGTTTGCCTCGCATGTGGCAGACCCAGGTTGGATTCCCAGCATCCCACTGGGTCCCCCGAGCACCGCCTGGAGTAATTTCTGAGTGCAGAGCCAGGAGGAAGCCCTGAGCATCTCCGGGTATAACCCCCCCCACACACACACACTAAATAATAAAACCGAATAGTTCTAAACATGCCCGCAAAAGGTTTGTCTTGAAACACTCGTTCTTTATCCGGCAGCTATGCAGAGGGAAGAAGACAAGGGCTGGAAGCGGCAGAGGGGGAGCCTGCCGTGAGTGGCCGACCTGGGTTCCACCCCAGCACCCCTTTATGACCCGGCAGCTGTGCCAGGAGTGACCCCTGAGCACCCCCGGGAGGGGCCCTAAGACAAAACAGAGAAACTTCTCTCCGTGTGACACGGGTCAGCTGTCCTTCCTCGGATGGGGACTATTTCCGCTGCCTGGGACAGGCCGTGCCACAAGCAACCCACCACCTTTTCTTCACAAATCACACAAAAAAGTGGGTGTCGCTGCGGTCATCCGATTGAGCAGCTGACTTGAGGGTCCCTGAAGGAGCCTCAGAGATCTCGGAGAGGGCCTCAGACAGAATTCCGGGAGGGTGACTCGTGGCTGCAGGCGTCACCACAGAACCTTCCGGAAAAGCAGCCCGACACACCCACCTCTCCTGCAGGCGTAGTTCATCATTCATTCTCGTCAGCTGTGCCAAGTTTTCCCCGGACATTTTCACGATGTCTGCGATGTCGTTTGACAACTTGGCCTTTGCCTTCGTCAACTGCTCTTCTCGCACATCTCTCTCTTTGAATTCAGCCTCCATATCTGAGGGGAGGGGAGGAGAGGAAGGGGGGAGGGAGGGAGGGAGGGAGGGAAGGAGTGAGAGGGACAGAGGGAGAGAGAAAGTCAGGGAGAGATGCGGGGGGGGGAGAACAGCTTTGGGGTGTCGTAGGCAACGAAGCGTCCCCTGCGCTTCTGTCCCAGGCCTCCCTCCGAGGACGTTTCACTCTCTGGCCCCTGAAAACTGCTCGAACCGAGCAGCAGCCAGTGAAACCAAGGACAACTCACAAGATGGGGAAGAAACGCAGGCAGCGAGCAAAGGATGGGGCCAGGACGGGGGTCCGACCGTACAAGGCGCCTCATAGATGGCCCTCAGGGGGGACCTTGGGCAGCATTTGACAGTCGTCCCAGGGCCGAGGTGGCCGGAGTGTCACAGGGCCCCAGGAACTGATGGGGGGGCGGGCGCGAGGGGCACTGGGACTTGCTGTGGGGGCTCCCTAACGGAGGCCGGGAAGCTGAGGAGGTGGCGTGGGAGCGTCAGCAGGGAGGCGCCGCATGCCCGGGGTGCCCCTGCACGACACCCGGAGACCATCTCTTACCTGTTCGATTTCCTCGCAACTTCTCCAGTTCAGAAGACAGCGCCTTAAACTGTTCTTCTTGTTGATGTAACTTATCAACAGATTCTAGTTAGGATAAAGTTAGAAGTTTAATATATTTCACGCACCATCGGGATTATTTGAGAGTCTGTCTGGCAGGCTCCATCAAATCTCACACTGGCGTCTGAGGTCACCGGGGCGATAAAGCGTCTCTACGGGAGAAGCCCCCGGCCGAGGGCAACACCAGGAGGTTTTGGCATGGAGACGGCGGGTCTGGCGCCAGGAGGAACTCGGGGTCTTGGTTGGGGGCATCCCAAAATCTTCCCACCCAGCCAGCTCCCTGCCAGGTCACACAGCACTTTCCCAAGCACACCTGCATGTCACCACAAACAGTGATGTAGGGACTATGATGCCACCAGCAGGTCAACCTGTACCTGCGGGGAGATTGCATCAGCAGCCTGATGGAGCCTGCAGACTTCCAGATACCCCAAAATTGCTCCTGTGCCTTTGGTCATGCCCCAACAACTTGGGGTCAAGTTTACCAAGAAATTAAACGGACAAAAGTTCAGTATATGGGAAACACACCCACAAACCACTAAATAAGCTATATAAGCTTTATAAGCTCATCTGTTGGCCTTATTTCAGAGACCCATACATCTCAAAAGAGATCAAAAGATGCAGTTAGGGTCAGTGGCCCGGAGGTAAACGGGAACCCGTGACTGAGAGCTCCAAGCTTGCTCAGATCAGGACTGGGCCTCCTCCCGCCACATTCCCAGTTTTCCAGTAGCTTGGCAGTCACACCCACAAACTGCCCCCCAGCACCACGTAATCTCGTCAATGGCCAAGACCCAGAGACTATGCAGTACAGCTCCCGGAAGAGAATGACACAGATATTCCTGGTCATTATATTTTAGCCATAAGAAGCAATACAAAACAAATCATCTAGCATTGCCTTTTCAGCAGGTTTGAGTGCTGGTGGGACTGGTGTCAAAATATCGGATGTAACCAAAGTAGAGAGAGAGTATGGGGGAAATTGTGTGCCTGCCACACAGGCAGGGGAAGGGTTGGCAGAGGCGTGGGGCTGGTGGAATTCTGGGGATTTTGGTGGTGGAAAATGTGCACTGGTGATGGGACGGGTGTTTGATGATTGTGTGACCGAAACTCAAACATGAAAGCTTTGTAACTTATCTCACATGAATCAAAAAAAGGAGGGAAATATAATAATAATAAAATAATAAAATAAAATTAACATTCAGAACAGAATTTTAAAAAAATAAGTAATGTGAAGTTCATGCCCAATTAAATCAGCTTCATCCATGGCTGAATAATTAGTAGTACTCCTACATTGGGCTGGAGCGATAGCACAGTGGTAGGGCGTTAGCCTTGCATGGAGCCAACATGGCGGATCCGAGTTCGATTCCTGCGCCCCTCTTGGAGAGCCCGGCAAGCTACCGAGAGTATCTCACCTGCACGGCAGAGCCTGGCAAGCTCCCCGTGATGTGTTCAATATGCCAAACACAGTAACTCCTACATTATTAACAAAAAAAAAATTTAAAAAAAAACAATGTGTATGTGTGTGATGTGTGTGTGTGGGGGGGGGGGAGGGCTTTGTGCGCGTACATGCTACGCCCAGGGTACCTCCTGGCTCTACACTCAGGGATCAGCCTGCTGGTATCAGGGATGGATACCAGCTTGGCAGTGGGCAAGGCAAGCGCCTGGCCTGCTCGGGTCTCTGGGAATGAACTTTACGTCAAAGAGGAAAGAGCCGGAGGAAGTCAGCTGCGGGAAATGAGTGGGCAGAGCCCTGAGTGTGGGACCCCAGAGCTCCGGCCCTGGCACAGTCACCCGGTGGCCCGCACCCACCTTGCCTGTTTTTCTGAACAGAGGCTGACTCTTCTGAAGCCTCTGTGAACTTTTCTTTCTAGAGAAACAGAATCAGATATTCAGACCAGGAGGGTGCAAAGTAGCTTCCAATCAACGACATGGGAGACACTCCATTTTGTGATGCTGTTCATGAAAATGAACTTGCACTCCAAACGTAGATATTGGGGGCTGAAGGGCTGGCACAGGGTCCAGGTGCCCGAGTACAGCCAGCCGGTTAGACCCTGAGCAGGAGTACCACCAAGTTAGGGGGGAGCCCCAATAAACACGGTGAACATCTGGGGGCTGGGAGAGCACTGGGTAAGGCCACTTGGCCCTGCTTGAATCGCGGCACTAACAGGAATATCCTGAGCACAAAGCCAGGAGTCGCCTCCAAGGACTGACAGGCATGCCACTAGTCCCCCCCCCCCCACCAAAAAAAATATATATATAAATATATCCCCGGGCCAGAGCGATAGCCCAGCGGGGAGGGTGTTTGTCTTGCACAAGGCTGACCCACCTTTGATCCCCAGCATCCCATAGGGGATGCACCGTCAGTAGTAATTCCTGAGTGCAGAGCCAGGAGTGACCCCTGAACATCCCCAACTGTGACAAAAAAAGACCAAAAACAACAAGAACAACAAGACCAAAAAAACCCAGAAAGCAAAAATAATCCACCCCAAACTCAGCTACCAATGCCCATTGTGTATCTGCCTGGCAAACATGAGTGAGTTGTGCAAGTATGTATGTACTTGCTTGCATGTCCAAGGACATGTATGAGTCTGCACATGACAGAAACCCATGTGTGTATACTGGGGTGTGTGCATGGCTGTGGACACACGTGTGTACACATGTTCTCGACCACACACAGATAGCATGTGATGCCGCTTGTGCTTGGCCCATGCTGCCCCAGCAAGGACGCTTCCCTTGGAATCCTCCCGCAGGTTCTGAAAGGCTCCTAAGTGCTCAGTCCCGGGTCCTGACAGGATACAGTCAGCACTGTCTCAGCAGAAAGGCCCGGCTCACCCAGGCCCAGAGACAGAGTGACAGGACAGCGGGAAGAGCATTTGCCTTGCACGTGGCTGACCCAGGTTAAATCCCCAGATCCCATTGGGTCCCCGAAACTCCACCAGGAGTAATTCCTGTGTGCAGAGCTGGGAGTAACCTCTGAGCATCACCAGGTGTGACCCAAAAAGCCAAAAAAAAAAATACCAAGAAAACAAAAACAACGAGATACTTTAGGTGTTTTGCTTTGTATGTATTCAACCCAGGTTCAATCCCCAGCATTCCACGTGGTCCCCTGAGGGCCACCAGGAATGATCCCTGAGTACAGAGCCAGGAGAAAGTCTCAGCACAGTTGAATACAAGAAAACCCAAGACACAAACCAAAAAAACAAATACAAACAAAAATATCCTAAAAAGAAAACAAGAAAACACACTTTGATCCACCCCAGGAAGGTGTCTGGAAGGTTCCAGAAAAGCGGCCTTCCCAGCGCATGTCTCTCACCTCCCTCCCCTTGCTGTGAGCCCCCAGTGCTCCCGGCTGGCAGGGGAGACAGAGCTGAGGGGGCAGGGGGCGCTTCTGAGGGGAGCAAGGAGCCCGACACTCCGGGAGCATCGCTGGCCAGTCACTGATCAGGCAGAGGCGGAGGGCATAGCGGGGACAGATCAGCCCACCTACCTTTGCTGCCCCAACGGGGGCTTGCGCAGCCCCTGGGGCTTCCAGCTGACACGCTCGTGAGCCTCAGAGGCCACAGGGCCGAGCTCGCTTGAGGAGGCTTCGCTTTACCCTCAGCAAGGTAAAGATCAGCGTCCGACTCCCCTGGTACTCACCAAACTCCGAAGCTCTTTCTCCAAAGCCTCGTTCATTTGGCTGGCGGAGAGACGGTACAAAGGGCTGGAGTACACACCAGGTCCGAGGTAGAACTGCAGCACCACTGAGCGAGCCTGAGATTGGTCCACAAGCTGAAAAGACCAGCTACTGCTGGGTGGGAGGACCCCAGAGGCGAGAGCATGGCTTGGCGAGGAAGAAGGAAGTAAGCAAGGGAGGAGGGAGGCTAAGGATACGAAGGAGGAAGGGAGGAAACAGGGAAGAAAGAGAAAGGGAGGGGAGGGAGGGAAGAAAAGGTTTATCTTTTTTTTTTTGGCCTGCTCCAGCTAATTGATGAACAACGGGAGGACAGTGACAATGACAGTGACCCTATGGGATGCTGGAGATCGAACTCACGTAGGCCGTGTGCAAGGCAAATGCCTTTCCCACTGTACTATCACTCTGGCCCCCAAGATTTACTTTCTTGTAGTTTCTTGTCTGTGACTTTAAAAGTTTGAGGGGTTTCAATATGAAATTTAAAATGAAGAACCTCTAATCCACTAGGCAGCAGTCACCAGAACTTGACGTTTGTTACATCTTGATGCGAACAAGTGGCTCAACTATTCCCTGCTGTGTCCTAGGAATTGATTCCGTTTGTTTCAGCCGGTGTTTCTGGAATGCCAGCTAAGGAGTCCTGAGTCCTGAGAGGAACTCCCGGGGGTCTCTGGGTCCTTCTGTTATGTCTGTCACTCCTGTCTACAAATCCCACATCCCTTCCATCTTGGCCAACAGAGAAGTTTCTCCAACAAAGCACCCAGCGCCGGGAGGGGGGGGGAGAAAGGGGGGACGGGCGAGGCTGGGAGGGCACGTCTCTGCCACCACAATCCTATAGGAGGAAAAGTGCACTTCTCAGGGCTCCTTGGTGAGAAATGCAGCTCGCTTGGCTTGGCCCAGAACTCACTCTCTTGTCCTTCCCCAGGGTCAGGGCTACTGATGTAGAAAAGTAGATAGGGAAAGGCCCTTTGCAATGAAACACAGTTTCATGGAAGAAGAATTCTAGGAAGGACCCACCTTGTGGATATAGAAAACAAAGGCCTGATAAGACCATCCGCAGACCCTCAGGACATAGGCCTCCCCAGGAAATTCCTCTTTTTGGACCTCCCTGGTAATCTCCTTAGCAACCGGACTTTTACCCAGGAAGAAGCTTCACGTGGGGACAGACTGGAGAAACCCTATAAAGGCCACCTGGAAGAAAGGCAGGGTACGCACATGCTGCCTGAGCCCATGTGTGGTACGTCCAAGTGGCTGAGCACATGTGGTGCCTGAGCACATGTGTCGCCCGCATCTCCCCTCTTGAGATGTGTACTTTCATGCTTTCGTGTCGAATGCTGGGATGTGTGGAGGGGCTCTCTCCACCCTCAGAGAAGCCCGCGTTCTCTCTGGACGCGTTACTCTCTCTCTTACTCTCCATTCCCCCGCTTATCTGCTTATCCCTTTCTCTCCCTCTCCAAAAATCCTCCAAATAAAATCTATTTGTTTCACTGCTTGTCTACTCCTGAAATTCCTTTCTGTGAGGCGAGACAAGTACCCAGTAACCCTGGGTCCCGGGTGGCAGAGGCGGGTGGGGAGAAAGTGACCGTCTTTCTCCTCCCCGCTTCACATAAGTCACCCGTGGGGCTCACCGACATCACTACCATGAGAGTCCATGCCCGTGGCTAGCAGGAGGCCATGCTGGAAGGCGGACTTGGCCCAAGCACCCCTTAGAGACTGAAAGGGATGAAATCTCTGCAGGGCTGGGCGGGGGCTTGTGCTGCAGGCAGGGAGGGGCGGGCAATGAGAAATACCAAGATGGGCCACGTCACCAGCCCTGAGGGAGCTCAGAGGTTCAGAGGCATTGAGCACCAGCTGGAAACTGAGGCGCCTCGGGGAGAGGACGGCAAAGCCAGTCACACGATCAGGTGGTCAGCAAGGCCAGGGAAAGACCCTCGCAGCCAGCCTCGAGCCCAAGGGTCTGGGCGGACTCGGCGAGTACGCAGGGGGTGGGGGGGTCGAGGTTTGCTTTGGGGGCTCCTATCTTGTTTTCTCACTGGCCTTGTGAAGAGTTCTCAGTTTCAGAAAGACCCCAGACGGGCCCGATTAGCTGGGACCAAGGCTAGCACGGCATCCGGGTGCTGGGGACCAATGACAGCCCCAGAATCGTGCCAACACGTTCTCAGTCCCATCAGAGGGAACCGCACAGGACGTGACCGGGAGACCTGTCAGCACCAAGCCCGAACACGGCGGCGAGCACACTGACACACAGCATGCAGGGAGCGAGCGTGGAAGTGGGCGAGGGCGCCCGGGTACCAACCTGCCGCTCTCGGCCCGCTCTGCATTCTGTAACTCCTGAATCTGCCGCTCAGCCACCTGGAGCTGCTGCCTGAGCTTCTCCATTCCCAATTTACCTCGGAACTGGCCTTCCAGAGCCCATCGAGCTGCAAGAGCTTCTCCTGGGTGGCCTCCAGCTGCGCCGTGGCGTCGGCCAGGGCCTGGGCTTGCTGACTACACATGGCCCGCAACCCCTCCAGGTGCTTTACCTTCGTCTCCGCCTCCTGCAGCTTGTTCAGGGCGTCCTCCATCTCCACCAGGTGCTGGTCCTCAGTCTGGTCGAGCTTGGCCCGCGCGGCCTCCAGGCTGTTCTTCTGCTCCTGGGCCATCCTGACCAGCCACGACCTGAGCGTCTGCAGCTCGGAGGCATGTGCCGCATGCTCAGCCGCCAGCTGGGCCTTCAGGCTCTCTACCTCCTGCTGGGACTCGAACTGCAGCCTCTCCATCTGCATCTTGAGCTCGGCCAGCTCGGACGCCTCGGCACCCACGCCCCGGCTCACAAACGCCTTCGGCTCGCCCATGGCCTGTTGGTGCGGGGCGATGGCCGTCTCCAGCTTGGACTTCCACGGGGCGATCACGTCCGTGTTCTCCTCGTTGGCATGGTCCAGCTTGGTCCTCAGCCACTCATTCTCCTTGGCGAGCTTCTCGGAGGCCACCTGCAGGGCCTTCGCCTCCTTCTGGTGGGAAAACAAAATTTCCATGAACTTAAAACAGGAAGGAAAAGAAGCAGACATAGAAATTTTTCTTTTGCAAACTGCTTTGGTAGGGTCCGAGCTCAGGACAGCCTCACCTGTCAAGGAAAACTCTGAGAGACCAAGTCCACGCAAAAGCAAGAGGTTTATTCGAGCATTCTCGGGCTCACAGCATGACCGCAAACCGTCAGT